TCTCCTGCCCCCGCGCTTGGCCCTGTCCCCCCCTTCCCGGGGAGCCCTGATGGCACACGGGGTGAGGGTGGCCTCTGTCTCGGCCCCTTTGCACCTCGGCAAGTGGGAACAAGCAGGGCTTCGCCCCGGGGGTGATGGCTCCACGGCAACCCGTGGAGTGGGGGACGGCAACCCGTGCAGTGGGTGCCGTGGCCTGTGCACGCACGAAGAGCGAGCGGTGCCGGTATCTGTGGGGAGCCCAGCGCCGGCGGAGCGGGTGTCAGCGGCGAGGCATCCCTCTGGGCACTGCTTTTGTCTTTACAGGAGCTCAGTGAGAGCAATTACTGTGTGTTCTGATGGCAACGGGGAGGAGGCTTATCCCCGCAACGAGCTGACGCGGTGCCAGAAAGGGAAACAACAGGCAGGCACTGGAGTGTGAGGCTGAGGGTAATTTGCAAAAGGAGCCAACCAAACAAATTATTTACACTCCCTTTTGGCAGCCAGCTGGAGCGGCTTTCTGCAGAAGGGAACAAAACACGAAAAAGAGGGGGGAGAGAGAGGCAGAGATACCATCTTCAGTGCCTGAAAAAGTTCATTCTCTCTGCAAGGGGAATCATTGTTCCTTTCTCCTCCCCCACGTCTGCGCGCTCCGTGCAGCTCGGGCAGCACCTGGGCTTGGCGCGTCCTCACTGCACTTATGTGCCTGCCTTCGGGGTCCGCTGGGGTCCGTTGGTGGTGCTGCAGCACAAATCATAGTAACAATTAACGATGTACTTTTCTGTTTAAAAACTTCAGGGGATTTTATACCCAGCCTTATAAATGTGGCCCAATCACGTATCCCATGCTGCAGCCAGTTTCGTAACTTCCCATGTGAAGAGCCACAGGCATAGAAATTGAAAAAGGCCTTAGGGTAAATGAGGGTTTTTTATCACAAAGACATATCTGGTAGGATTTGCAGTATCTCCCTGCAGCTCTGCCTGCATTTTTTTCTTATGTGAGGCCTCCTTTTTACAGGCAGAGCAAAACCGGGGGTGTGAGTGCAGGGGTGCGTGCTCGGAGGCTCTTTTGGGAGGGCTGGCCACCTCTCACTGCACCTTCCCCGTGCTGCGCTCACTTGGTGAGCTCACTGCTCATGAACGCCCGCACTTCGAGTCCGCTTGCGTGCTTAAGCCAGATGCAAACAAACGATTACGTGGGCTGAGCAGAGAGAAATCATAATAACTTAAAACAGAGAGGGAACGAAGCTGCCTCCTCGCTCCCTTGGCTCCCTACTTGCTAAATCCACCGCTCTGCCAGAGCCGTTCATCAGCACGCAGGCAGAGACGCACGGCGCTGCCAGCTTTGCCGCTGGGGTTTAGCTGTGCTGAATGCCCTTTGTGGACCCCAAGCAAATGTTCCTGTAAAAGGCAAATGGCTATTGCTCTGTAAGAAGCAGCCTCAGAGAGAGTGGTCCAGCTGCTCGTGATGCAAGAAGAGGCCAGGGCAAGTCTCCGTGACAGCGTGGGAGATTTCAGCTTGTTTTGGATGTCTTGGCATGGCTACACGAACGTTATTGGGAAGGCCAAGACAGGGTTTTTCCTTTCCGGGTGCGCTCAGCAGCCTGGTGTGTATCTGTGCTTCCACCCAGTTGTTCGTGCCCGGGCGGGGTGGGGGAGCCTCTCTGCCACGTGCCTCCATACCCGCGCGCTGAGCAGCTGCGCCGCTGCTGCTGGGGAAGTTTTGCGTTAGTGGGAAGCAATTACAGTTGCAAATCATGCTTTTACCTCTTTTATAAAATTCATGAAGCGGCCACCGAACCTCCAGGCTTTGTGCCGATGGCACTGCAGGGAGTTCACGGTCATCTGAGGGGCACGCTGGTAGCAGACGGAGACCACGTGCACCGCGTCGTACAACAAGGCAGCATCTGTCTAAAGGAAAGGGGAACAGCATTTGTGTTGATAGCGGTTCCGGAGCAAAGAAGTGCTGGGACGGCAAAGCGGCGGGGGATGCATAAAGTGTCGCAGGGGAAGCTGCAAGAACCTCCTCTGAGTTACCCCCTGCCCACCACCCGGCGGACCTGAGGGTTCCTCCATCCTGGTCCACTGCGGACCATCCCACCTCCTGGTGTTTAACCCTGCAACCCGCGCTCCGAGGGCAGGGCTGGGCTCTCACGAGATTCACTGAGGTCTCACGAGGTGGCCGTAAATGCATGTGCTTTAACACGAGACTTGTACAAACCTCTAGCCTGACCTCTCGTGCAAAACATGTCCTCGAAACACGTAGCTCTGCACATGACAAAGAGTCACGGGTGCGTTTTTCTGTTACATGGCTCTCTACACTAAAAGATCATAGTTCTGTCTTAATGTCAGAGATTGTGAAAATGTCATTTGTCTGTGGCCATCTATTCTGGTTATGTCTAGCACATTTACTATGGTATTGCCAAGCAAGGAAGCTAGTTATTTCTAAACGTAGAAGATAGTAACAAAATTTTTTTCTTTAATCTGTTTTGTCTGAGTGTAAAAAAAACCTATATGAGAACATATTATCCACACTATTTTATACGTGGGGAAATAAGAAACAGAGAAGTTAAATGGCTTGTCCACAGGCATGGAATTTTCCCAAATGGCCTGAGCTGTCACTGAAATCAGGACGTCACAGATTTGTAACATCTTCACGCATTTTGGTGATTTGAACTAGGGAGAACATTTTTTTTTTCTTCCATATAATGTGATGGTTTTAGATTCAATTTGAGATGCCCCATCTTGCCTCCAAACACTGATCAAGAGAATTGAATTTATTTTTCACTCCGATATGGTGAGTCCTCCTAGTGAAAATATGTTATTTGCTGGCTTCACAAAGCTACAAAACAGATGTGAGAGTAGCAGCAGCGTAATGAAACACAATAAACCAAAATAATACAGCAAATAACTGGGCAAATATCTAACAGGACGTGGCCATGGAGAAAATCCTCCAACGTTGGCAGCCATCCCCGTGACCTTCCCTTCCCTCAGCACCCAAGCATGAAGAGCAGGCACCCGACCTACATCCTGTGGGCTTGTATTTACAGCAACAGGGATGGGCTTTGTAAGTTTGAGTCTGGGGGAGAGGGTGTACAAGAATGTGTCCAAGCAATTTCACGGTGAATTACATACTGTAATGCCCAGCTGAGATCAGGACCTGACTGGGATAGACACCAGGCAAACAGAAATAAAAGGCAGGATCCCCTCCGAAGAAGCAGACGGGGAACCGGAGAGGAGCCATCGGCGGCGGGAGAGCCCAGCGCGACCGCAGGCAGCGCGATGCTGCCGGTGTGGGCAACGCTGCAGAAAAGTGGAAGGCTAAGGGAGAATGGTGGGGCTCCTCTCTAAGAAAAAAAACCAGGAGGGATACGAGGAGCCATTTCAAGGTGAAAGTTTGGGAGGCTTTGCCACTTGTGGGGTGGGTTCTGGCAGATCTAAAGGGAGAGGGAAGGAGGGAGCCAGTCAGCAGCTACGGGGGGTGGAGACAGCCTCGCAGGGGAGACAGATGGGCGAGCAGGTGCCGAACCTTCCGAGCAGTGACTCAGCGGAGCAGAGCTGCCGTCAGACCCTAAGCGGAGTCATCAATGCTGCAGCAGAGCCCATCTCTGGGCAGCTTCCTCCCTGCGTCAATCCCAGCGAATTGCCTGGCCCGGGCCAGCCTTGTGCTGTGCTCCCGGCCCCGGGGAGCGGCGCGTGGGGGGCCCTCGGGGACTGTGTGGGGAGGTGGTGGCAGCTGGAGCCCTGCGAGCCCTGTGGCTCAGGCCCTGGCTACCTGGCTCGTCCGGTGGAACGGGAGCATTTCTGCTCCCCAGAGCTGCTCCCAGGGCTGGGCAGAGGGACTGCATGGGGACCGTCCTGCCCTAACCTGGAACAGGACTTGTGGGGAGCAGCTGAAGGGAGAGGATGCCCTTTCCCGGGTGCTCCGGGGTTTGGGGCGCACACAGCCCGTCCCTTTCCGGCGAGCACAGAGAAATCCTGCTGCACTTGAAGAGGGGGTACAATACCCAGCTGCTGGCAGCTCCCTTTCTTCTTGTTCAGCGAGAAATAGCCAGGGCAGTTCCCCACTGTGCTCAGCCTTTCTGGAACTGAAAGCTTTAAATTTTCCTGGTCCTGGGGGCAGCTTTTTACTGGCAAGAAGGGAGGGAAGAAGCACAGTCTCTCAAAATTGGCAGCTGGGCCTGCAAAAGGAGAGTGTTAACACAGCAGTGGGCTGCAGGGGATTCACCAGCCGAACTCACTGCATTTGAGGGATGGTTGTTAAAGAATGCAGGTAGCTACCTTGGGGAAGATACCTGGGATGAGTTACTAGTACAAGAACCAATAACTGTAACACTTAGGCCTTAGCAAATGTTCCTGCCTTCCCTACCACTCTGGTCTGCTTCCCAGACTTCACCCATGCTGGGTTTCGACTTCTCATACCATCATCACACCATCGAGCAGTCCCAGCTCGGCCTTGGGCGCGGACTGCAGCCGCTCCATGGACCACTTCTCGATGATGGAGGACACGTGCGGGTTCTCCACATTGAGGATCCGGAAGCCGGTCAGGTTCACTCCAGAGTAGCGGTATGGTTCTAGGTCTAATGCATAAAGATCCTTAAAAGAGAGAAACCAGTTTAAACATTTTGTTTAGCTTTGTTTTGTTTGTCTTTTCTGCATTGGTTCACGTCCGTGTTTGAAGTGAGAAGGCAGAGCCCACAGAAGGTAGGAGGCAGGACGATGCCCTCATGAGTTTGGTGGATTGTACTGTCTGTTGCCATCAGTCATCGCTTGCCGAGACTCATAGGTGTTAGTGGAATTTGGGTGTCATATGTGCAGGTTCACCCACACGCAGCGGAGGGGAACTCCTGCCAAAGAGCTCACTCTCTACATAAAAGAGGCAAGTGAATTGTGGGGAGAAAACCAGAACTGCTATCTGTAACCATGAAAAAAGAGCCTTGCAACCAAGGCGGAGGGGGCAAAGCAGAGCTCTTGTATCCGAAGCTCCCTGGGGCCTTGCCGTGGAGGATTTGCTGTGAGTGCTGAAGCCCACAGGGTGCTGCCGATGACAGAGTAACTCTGAATGCAGAATGCCAATTTGCAGATGGATATCAAAGAGGAACTAAGACGCATTTCTTGACATTACGACCAGCCTACACAGTCTGCAAATGAATGAGAGTGCCCTTTATACGATTTAAAAAAACCACAGCCAGGCAGTGCTCAGCTCCGCTGGCAGCCGGCCCACGAGCATCGCTTGGCAGGCGGGGAGAGAGGGGCGTTTGGAGGCCGCCGCGAGTGCGCTTCTTTAATGCACCTCTTGGCTCTGCCGCACGTCTAAAGATTAACTTCAGTTCAGGGATTAACTTCAACGCTGAGTAACTAGTCTGAGTAGTTTGGGGTTATCCCACAGCTGATCTGCTCAGCAAAAACCCAGGGCAGCTGACCCGAGGGGGGTCGCGAATGGACGTGGCGGAGAATGGCAGTCTGGAGGGGGCTTCGTTTATGGGAATCATTTGTTGGATGGGACATACTTAATCGGAGGTTAGCCTGAACAGTGAACGATGCTCATTGCTCCCACAAGGGCTTAAAAAAAGAGTTTAAATACAGTATGAGATTATGTGGCTGTTGCTGTTGTGTCTAACGTGGCTACACTGTAGGACACAGCCACGCTGGGGGTTCACCCAGACACGGCGTCCGTCAGCAGCGAGCTCTGTTCTGCCCGCCGGGGAGCTGGAAGAGCACTGGTCCTAAAACACGCTGCCCTAAGCAAAGCATAACAAAGTCAGCACTTGCCAGCAGCCGAGACTTCATTCTCAGTGGGACAGCTAGGAATTCTTACAGCTGTTTTGCTTTAACAAGCTTTGGGGGTTTGATCTTTTCCTTAAACGCTGGCCTCTGACTTTGCACCCCCAAGGCATACTGCTGATGGATGCCATGTTTTAATCTGCAGGTGCAGCCAGGGACCGGGTCATTAATCACACCCACAACAGAGTTCAGGGACTCTTGTTTGGGGTTGTTTTTTTCCTGAAAAATTGCAAATACAAACCTCCACGTTTTGTTAAAGGGCACTGTGGAAACTAGGCCATAATGTTGACTTTTAAATGTCTTACAGTAACTAAGAGCAAATACAGTTGTTTAATGTCAGACAGATGCTTACATCATCTGGATACGAGGGTGTGCAGCAGTCCTGTGCCTGACCCACTGGAATAGATTTATTTTTTCAGGATCCATATCTTTGTCAGACACTTCAGTTTCTATTCTGGAAATTGCTATGGAGAAATAATTTTTGGTTGCAAAAGCAGATAATTTCCCCCTCAGAATGTGACCATATGTGACAAATCTGATCCACTGAGCTCCAGACCTCGTGGTCTCCATCACACTGCTGTCAGACCGCCAGCCCTGGCCACCTTTCAGATCCTACCGGGATTTTGGGTGCCCTCCCTGTCCTGCTGCTCTCCACTGACCCTTCATTTCACCAAGTTCCTATGGAAGCCAACCTCCTGTCAGGTGCCTTCTTGGTTCCAGTTTAAATCTCAGCTGCAACCTGATTTATCATTTCCTGGAATTAGAGGATAATTAAGAATACAAGCCGAGTGTCAGAACATGGAGAGGTGTGTGGGGGGAATTGCTGTATCAGTTTCTTCTGGATTTTCTGCTTCTGCGCAGCCACAAATTGAACATCTGGTTCTATTTTCCACCTCATCTACATTCCCTTTCACCGATTATTTTCTGTACTGCAGATTAATTCTCCCCTCCATACTACTACCTTTAAGAAAGTTTTATTCTCGGTGTTTCTGTGTGGCTCTTCGCCGTTCTTACACGTGCTCTCCCACCTCCCCAGTTAAAACCCCCAGCTTTGGTTCATCCGTTGCAGGCGGCAGTGCTGAGGTTGAGCCTCACCAGACCTGGCATCCGCAGCAGGGAGCTGCAAAAGCAGGTGTCCGGGAAGGGCATCCTCCACCTGCTGTCGTGCAGAACAACTCGCGGATAATGTGCCTGCCTCGGGCTGCCGTCGGGCGCGGATTTGCTCGGGCAGCTGTTCCGGAGGAGCGGCCGTGGCCGTGGCATGCACAGTGCTGTGTGAGTAAGGACCTCTGGTGTACTCAGTCACGAGTGCACTCGTGTCGTGTCGTGAGCCTCAGGAACACTGAGTCTAATGAGAGTACCTCCTGATCGGCACCAGTGGAAAACTGGACTGGTTTGGTTTAGCGCCTAACTGGGAGAAGGCGGGTTGGGAAGAGATTGCTGCTTCTGCCTGCCTGTAACTGCTGTAAGCAGCAGCAGGCACAGCCGGCGGTGGGGAAACGTCTGTGTTTGCAAGGACTCATTTCTACAAGCTGCTGAGAAATTCCTAAAAGTGTTGAGTTAAGGGGGTTGTCGCTGCTTGGGACTTTGCAGGGTGTAAAAGCTGCGCGTGCGTTAGAGGCTCGGAAGGGTTCCTCCTCCGCTGGTAGAAAAGGGCCGATGGGCTCTTCATGCTGAAGTCAGTGAACTGTAGTCTTGCTGCCTAGCGAAACGTTGAAGCGTTTCATGCCAAGTGTTGATACACTGTGCTCAGTATTGACTAGGGACCTTTTAGAAACATTCAGTATAACATAATAGACTAATTCATTAGCACCCCATGGGGCTAGTGCTGTAGAAGCTGAAGCACACGCATTGCAAGCTAGGAAAACATTGCCTTAAGGAATGACACATTAAAATATCTTTCCCATGATATAACTGTTATTTCAGGAAAGTGGCATTAATTGTGATTGCTTATCTATTAATTTATTATAATTCTTCTTTTCCCACCTCCAGGCTGTACCTACACATGAAATGTACTCTAGGCTCAGCTGGGGCTGATTAATAGGAGGTTATCTGGGAAATGCTTAAAGCTGCCTGGAATAGATAATGGCAGCAGGGGTAATTAAAATGTCTTTTGCATTTGAAAAATAAATTTTGCAGTTTTTAAGGGTTAGTTTAGTCTGTTTCTTTCCTAAAGGCAAAAAGATAAATTGGATTTTTGAAATCACACAAAATTCAACAGTATCCTAGACAATAGCATCCTAACTGGAAACAAAAGTGGCATGCCAAGAAACCCAAACCAAAATGCCTCCTGGAGTCAGAGAAGAACTGGCCCGTGTTTAATGAGAGCGGAGTTAATTTCAAGCTGAGTTCTTCTCATGCAAAATAAACCTGCAGTACTGAACTATTGACCACAGCAGGGCTGCTGCTGGCTTTTAAGGGAGACCTAGATGAACACACAGAAACACACGCACAGTTCTGACTGAAACTCCGTCCCATCAAATCCTGTCCGTGGGACCACAGCCTCACAAGTTCACGCATATGCTCATCTTTCAGTGCACGGGTAGCTGCACTGAAATCAAAATGACTGGGAGGGGAAATACAGCCAGAACCTGCATCTGTGCAAAGCCGGAGCGGCTCCGAAGGAGCGAGCCAGTCCAAAAGCTGCGAAAGAAAAGACCGGTGTCTCTCAGAATGAGCACCCAGGCGATGCTGCAGTTGCAGAGGTGTTACAACCAAATCGTTGTGGCCTGATTCTAACCTGAAGCTAAATCTAGCTGTGCTCTCACCTTCTGTTAGGATATCAGACTGCCTGTTCCCTTGTTTTTCCCACCCCACCGCTTTAGCGTCCTGCAGCTGTGCAATGCACGCCCAGGACAGGACACCCAGCCCGCTCTCCTGCCGCTGAGCCTGCTGCCTCGCTTCCCACACCGGCTCAGCAGTGAGCGTGAAAGGTGTTTGCACAGATTAGATACTTTACCAGAGTGGTGAAGATGAAGTGGTAGTATTCTGTCATCATTCCCATTGCCATGGCCTTGAGGAGAGCAGGGAAAGGAGGTTAGTACGAGTGGATACAAGAACATAACAACAGTCATGCAACATAAACCTCTGCAGAACTGATCTGGTAAATGCAGCCGGAGGCAGACCCAGAAGCACAGAAGCTGGATTCTGGATCAATCCCGTGAAGCAGTTTAGCATGTGCTTAGCCAGCAAGAGGCACGTGCTTAAGTGCCGAGCTGAACTGTGGTTCCCGAACCTTTCTGAAACAGCAGCAAAGCCTCGGTGTCCAGCTCCCGTGGAGGCCGGTGGCATTTCTGGGTGTTGCTGTGCCACAGGGAGCTGGGACACCAACTGTGACACACTGCTGTGCTCACAGGCCATGCGCGGTGCAAAACCTTCCAGGGACACAGGCTTGCTGCTGTCGGCACTGCTGCGAGCAACGGGGTTGCCTTTCCTTCTCAGATACCAAACAATGAGCAACATTACATAAACCTGTGCAGAATGAGCATAAACCAGCCTGCTCTTGTGGTTACAAGTCCATGTACTGGCTAAGAAGCTAAGTAAAAGGCTTCTTATTTCTTACATGTGTACTTCTGGTGCTCTGCATCCGCTTCCCTTCAGTGTCCACTCACATAACAAGTACATACAGCTCTTGTCTGTGTGTCTCTCCTTGCTGCGTACGCAGCCAGATTCTAATGCAGTGCTTGGTTTAGAAATGGGTCAGTAAAAGTCGAGGCGCAGGGATGGGGAGCGGGGACTTCTCCCATCCCTCAGCCCTTGGAGATCGTGGTCCAGACCCAAGGGCTCCTGGCCAGCCCAAGCTCGAGGTGTGCCAGTCCCGCCATGAAGGACGGTTCGTGCAGATTGCTGCGATTTGCACAACTGAGCACTGGCGAGAACATGCTGTTCTGTGAGGTTTGTCAGAGAGTGGCTGTGGGCTGAAGGGACCTCGGCTGGATGATGTTGTCCAGGCTCTACACCACACGAGGGGAATGCGTTTCTGTCTGTGAGAAGAGTCACCTTGAAGTTGGTAGCTGGCTAAAAGAAAGAGATACCCATGGCTTTGGCTGTGATGCTGACTCTCTGAGCATGTTTTCTGGAGAAAACACATGCAAGAGCACTTTAAAATCTCCACTGATGGGAAAGTGACTTCAAGTCTCCCTGGGAAATGTGTGCTGCTTTGGTTTTTGCTAAAATCACGAGGGCAGAATTTAGCTCCAAGGAAAGAAGTGGCAGTTTGAAAAGAAGTGAGATGTCAAAAAACAAGGGAAAAGGAAAGGATCAGATTACAAGCCCAGATATTGTAACACTAGAGTGTGATTTTACCCCACGTTTCCTGGCCTGGAAGTACCTTTCAGGAAGTCGGGGAACCGTCTGTGCACAGCGTGCGGTTCCGTCCCGCTCCTGCCCGCCTGGGCAGTGGATCTGCGGGGCTGCGCCGGAGCTCTCTCCCGACCTGCACACCCGGGTGCAAAGAGCTGGAGCAGGGAACGATCCCTCAGTATGTGAAGCATCAATTAGATGATGTGAAACCAATCGAGAGTAAATCATGAGATTCCAGTTCAGATTCTGCGGCTGGATTGGTGGTAGACGAGGAGTCCAGACCTGCTGTAAGAAGCAAGCCCCAGCTTCCCAGCACTTGCAGCCTGTGTGCAGGATGCATCTGGGTTTGTGGGGAAATGAATAAATGATAAACCTGGTGGATAAGCTACAGGCAATCACCAGGATGAGAACGGGCGCTGCGCTGAAGCTGAGGCAGGCACATCTGCGCGCTGCAGAGCGCAGCAACTGTTCAGAGGCAGCTGCCAAGGAGAGCGGAGACGCTGGGAAGCCGGAGAACAGATGTAACGCGTGAACAAGCGACCAAAGCCGAGCACGGCCAGAGACGCTGGGGCGGGATGGGAGGGCCTCGGCAGCAGGCCTAGCTCTGCGGTAGGTCCCTACAATGCGTTGTTTGTCCAGGAGAGTAAAAGAATGAATGGTTTGATGTCTCAGTCGCTCCAAGGAACCCAGACTGGAGCAGTATGTGGCAATGCCATCTGTACATCTTTGTGCCAGCTCTTGTGTTGTTATTCATAGATTACTAATCCATGGGGGTTTTTTACTACTCCAGTTTAAAAATACTGCCCAGATCACCAGTGAAGTGCCTTGCGACTCGTGTGCTGTGGGAGCATGTTACCTTAAAGAAGTTGGGAGCAAGATCTGAACTGGCGTGATGGTGTGTGCTCAGGCAGAGCTCCCTTAGCAAACGTTAGCTGTAGTTGCTCAAACCATTTTATGTTACCTAAAGATGTGCACTTAAAAATAGTACCAAGTGGTGGAAATTTTAGCAGAAGTCTTGAGAGAGCCTTTTTGCCATCCATCGGCGCGCAGCCGAGAGGCTCCAAGGGCCTTGCACGGTCGGAGCAAACGCCAGAGGCCGAATGTCTGCGAAGCTAACTGGTGTCGTTACCAAATGTTACAGAAGGCAAACAACAGCAATGATATATGAACGTTATTGTTTCCAGGACAGAAGGCTGGGCCATTCTTCCCTGCCATTTTTGGCTGTTGAGGGTTTTTTCTGTGTGGTGTTCTTCTGCCGCTGCCGCGCGAAAGCAGACTCTCCTCTTCCAGGGAGGCAGTTTGGGCTTTACCCAGCCCGACCTTTCGGTGAACGTGCAAAGCAGAGTGCGCGCGGGGCAGAGCGGAGCAGGGATCGGGAAGCCTGTTTTTCTATCCCATGCTGTGGAAAAGAAAAAAGCTGTTTCCCAAGTGAAGGTGGCACCTCTAGATGTGCATTTCTTGATATAGGTAGAAAAGCTGGGAAAAGATGAGGTTTCTGAGCTTCCTAATTCTTCAGCAAACGCGAGCACCAACAGTGAGAGAGACACGAGGGTCCCGGTGCACGCCGCTCGGAGCCTCCCCAGTGTTAAACACTGGAGGGTACAAGTGTGCAGAGGGGTTTGGGTTTGTGCACGTTCCCAAACTCTGAAAATATTTGACAGTTTTTTTCCTGAGTAAAAATGCATTACGTAATATTGCTAAGCTGAAATCCGTGGCTTTGGGTCCTAAAAAAACTCCCAACAAGCACACAAAACCAGCCAGAAGGACACAGAAAGACTTCTTTCCCCCTAGTCCCCCCTCTCCTCCATCTTCCTCACTCTGCACTCAGAGTGATGAGCAGAGCAGATGGCACAATAAACTATAATAAACTGCACAATAAGTGAACAGCACCAAACACAGCCAGCATGTTAAAATAATAAGCAGGAGACAATGAGTCCCTTATATTGCTTTCTTTAATAATCCCTCCCAGGCTTTCTGATTTCTCTGAGCACTTCCCTTCATTTTGCATCAAGCAGGCTGCAAGAGAAGTCTCTTTCCATGTGCTTGCTTTCTCAGCCCTTCCGGGGATTTATTTAATCTACATGGTAGTGTCTTGCTGGGGTGATATGAGCAGCACTTCACCGGCTGGTTTTTAGCATTCTTTGTGAGAGCGTTTTCCTCTGCCTCATATTGACCCTGAAACCTAGAGGCACTTGGAAATGAGTTGCTGGGGTGAGCAGCAAACCTTCTGGTCTGCAAAAAATGCCAGTGGAGGAACTCCAGGGAGAAAGGCGAGAGACCAGATGAATGGAAAATCACTGACATCTGGCTTAAAGTCCAAGAATTGCACACACAGCTCACGAAGGGGCAGAGGATGCCGGCCCGCCCCAGCTGGCCCGCTCCTGGCTGCTTGTGGCGAGACGCAGGACTGTGTGCACAGCTCGGAAGAGAGCTGGCCAAAACGAAGCGTTCCGTGCCCTGCCCTGCGCGGGCACGTATTCTCAAACCTGCGGGCATGAAGCAGCACAGAAAGGAAGGACAATATTTAAAGTCGGCAAGCATGAAAAGCTTGTACGGGGCTAAATGAACGGTGACAGAAGGGGCCCAGAGCACAGTCCTGCCCGATGCCCTGGCTGAGGGAGACGCGAACGCTGCTCCCGACGGCTGTGGGCGCAGGGTGTGCAGCCGCCGAGGGAAGCGGGACAGCAGCCTGGGCTCAGTGCTGCATTCGACACAGCACTTGGCACCTTCTCCTCCCGTGACATGTGTTCTTCCTTACTGACAGCCGCTCTTTGATACTTGCAGTTTTTCAGTGAAAACTACATGTTCTGTAGAAATCCAGTAGTATCCTTGAAACATGTACATGTTGTAGGTTTTAGTGTAGCTGTGGATTGTGGACGGGGGAAAGCTGCATGTCTGCACACCTATCTGCAGGGCTCTCCCTGCAGGACGGCCACCCCGTACGCATGGGGCCCTCGGTGGCCACTTCTGCTTCTCCCCCCAGCGCCCTCCGCTCACCTGCTTGAGGATCTGAGCTGCCATCAGGTGGCTGCAGTCAAAGATGATGCGGAATTCCCTGCCCCGCTTCATCTCCTTCAGCAGCGGCCGGGCATCGTCGGTGTCCAGCGGGAGCTGGCGGATTTTCAGCCGGATATTGTACCTTGATGGGGCCATGATGAGCTCCTGCAGCCGTATGAGGCCTTCGAGCGTTGCACAAAGACAAACCCACAGCATTACAGGAAAGCCTGCCTTTGCCCTGCAGGCTGGGTATCACAGCAAGTTATTTCTTCCTATATTATTTTATGGAATGCAGTCAAGACTTCCCTCCCTCCCTCGAATGGCCATTGCTAAAGGCGTATCAAAGCCAAGGCGCCGTGTGTCTATCATTAAAAACCCCAGATATTTCCAGAGCAGTTGTTCCAAGGCAGAGTGGCTTTGCCGGGTGTTTCCCTGCTGCCCCTGCGTCCAGCTCTGGTAGAGCTGGGGTCCCTGCACTAGGTAGGAGGAGGAGAATAGCAGATTGGTCCTAATCTTTGACACCCCTGGGATCACGACATCTTAAGCAACTACGCCCTTGAGAAAGGACAGAATGTGATACTCACCTATGCAACAAATGAAAATCTGCAGTATTTACCATGCACAACATAAGAAGAAAATAATGAATATCTGCTTACATTTATGAATAGTATAGTTCATAATGGTCACTTAATCACAACTTGTAACCTTCTCACTACGCTTAGAATGAATTTCTTTTTTATGCAGAAGGTACAAAGCCATGCTGGATGCAGCTGAGCAGGACGTATTGGTATCTAATGTTGCAAGAAATTCAGCAGATGCCTATTGCAAGGAGGAAGAGAGAAGCATGTCCCTCTGCATAGTGGAAGAAATATATTAGAATACACCACGAAGGGAACATACTGTGACCCACATTTGCAAAACAGGAATGTCAAACTGTGTTCTCATCAGCCCTCCCCTAAAGAAACCATTTGGTTCAGTGGAATTAGGTTGCACAGGCTATCTAACGTGTCTTTTGTTTTTGGGGCTTTTTATCTATAGTGCTGTGCAGTGCTTTGCTTTGTTTAACTGTCAACAGCTTTCTTCTTGTGAAAAACTTTGTCAGCTATGTTTTATAGAATTAGCCAGAAAACAAAAAACTTTCCACAACTGCTTTTGCTTCTAGCTGGGAAACTGCACCCTCAATGGCAGCCGCAGACCAAGGTCTTTGCTTGCGTAGACGGGCACCGCGGTGCCAACCGCAGCCGGGCTGAGCCAGATCACACCAGCAGACAATTAATCCTCCCCTTGACCCTCTGGCAGCTGGGGTGGTGCTGAGGGTTACCCAGTTTCTAGGCGCTTTGTGAATGAAATGCTTCAGAAAGGATCCCTGGGCCTTCTACAACGCTCGCCTGAACGCTTGGGAACCGGTGTGTCCCCAGGCACCGACCATGGCACGGGGTGTCATTTTGCTCCTAAAAGGGTTCATTAGAAAAGTTCCTAAATGGGACCCGTGACAAAAAAAATCTCCTGGATTCCTCTTTTAAAGCACGTCTTTTACCTACCTGTACTGTCGTCGTAAACCACAGTGGCTGACCTCCATTTCAAGTACTGCACAAGGTCCAGAATGGCATGGCTAAGAGAAGCATAGTCGGGATACAGGTTGACATAGAAAGTGTCCTTGTTATCCAAAGGGTGATGCTTCCATCGAAGCTGTATGTGGGGGACTTCCAGGGCATTGCAAATAGACTGGACAGCATTGGTACAGGAGCCTTGGGAAGGTCCGAATATTGCTACGACCCCCAGAGCGAGCTGGTCACAGGCTGGAAAAGGAAAAGGAAAAGGAAAAGGAAAAGGAAAAGGAAAAGGAAAAGGAAAAGGAAAAGGAAAAGGAAAAGGAAAAGGAAAAGGAAAAGGAAAAGGGAAGGGAAGGGAAGGATGCTGTCAGTAAAGTACAGGGCACCTCGGTGGGAGGGGTGAGTGTCGGGGCAGCTGTGGGGGCACAAACAGCTTCCTCCTGGCCTGGACCACGGAGCAGGGGACAGACTGACAAGCTCCAGGGCACTATCAGCAGCAGAGATGTCAGGTAATGGCAGCAGTGAAGAGAGGCAGAGAGAGGAGGAGTTCTGGCAGGTGGGGTCTGGACCATGGTTAGAGGCGCAGACAAGTTTCCAGAGGAGGGAGTAATGGCTACGGGGTGTTAGAAATGGCTGAGCCTCCAGAGTTGTGGAAGAAATACCTGGAGGTGATCAGAATCGCCCTCACAAATACGTTTTCCCATTAATTTTAATAGATCTTTTTTCCTGCAAAATAACGCTTTTCATAGCTTTGTTCAAGCTTTCACTGAGAAATTAAAACAGAACAACTGCATTTGGGGCTGCATTTTTAGGATTAAAAGCAAACACTGAAAGGAGTTTTGTGAGGTTTGCAGAGGGAAAAAAGTTGTTCCCCTTATATTAAAATGCCTCTGGAAGGTCAGCTCCTGGGAGACTTCTGATCTCAATCATTGACTACAGCAGGACAAAACGGGCTGCTGGGTCTCAAGCCAAACCATGCCTTTTTTTAATGACTAAATGACCACAGAGCTGCTAAGTGTACCGTGCTCTTACCTTTCTTAGTTGCTTCAAAGCTGTCATGGAAGTGTATCCTCTGAATGTCATAGGTTAGTGTTGTGTTAGGCAACAGAGTTCTGTTTCTGTTAATAATATTGGCAGAAAATCTGAAGGCTTGCTCCTCAGCACTCATAACCTGGGTATTGGGGCCATCTGCATACTCAAAGATTCCTCCTGCAATACAAGACAAAACCAGCATTAAGCCACATAAAGTTTGAGTGTTAATCTTATGTAGCAAGGGCAACAAAACTCTTGGACAGAGCTGTGACATTTGCAGGCTGAACAGGGCTTGCTCCAGGACAGTTCCTGGGCTGAAATACAGACATTAAAACATTTGGGGGTTTGTTATACGCTGGTCCATGACAGTGTTCAGAATGCCAGCTTTGTGGGGCAATAGGGGACAAAATTAGAGTCTTGGAATGTTTTTATGAGACAGATGAGTGCCTTCCCATAAAACGTTAGGACCAGGCCTGGGGAAGTGCAGACAGGCTTATTGCTGCTCAGCTGCAGAGACGCTCCAGATTTGTGCTCGGTGGAGTTACTGCGGTAGGAAGCGGGCACTGCCCCTCCCTCCGTGCCGTGCTGGACCCCTCCCCGCTTTGCGCACCCGTCTCCAAGTCCTCACGCAGGAGGCAGGCAGTTCAGCGCTGCCGCTTGCTATTTTTAGTGCCGTTTTTAGTGCCCTTCTCATCTTTTATTGTTCCTCATGTTTAGTTATCCAAGTTCATAATTCAGACCAGCAGAGACTTCTGAATTTGCCTACCCTGCAGCTTATCTGCTTAATAATGCACATCTTGAATGCATGCTTTCCCATGTTCAAAAGTTGTTAATGCCATTACACCTCCCCAAGGGCAACAAGCTCATGTCATGGTATCGCTGGGTTTCTTGGCTCTGTGTCTGTGAGTCTTGTCCTCCGTTCCCCACTGACAGCCACTCTAATGGAAGTGACTCAGTGCAGGCGTAAATTATGTGATTGCGTGTCCTTGTCTGTGAGATGTGGGCACCGTCCTGTGCCCCTGGCAGAGCCACGGAAAGCCGCATAAACCTTGCTCTATCTTTTTAAAAGGTAAACCAAAATAATTAATGGATGAGTGAGATAAGCAAGTGCAATTGGTAACAGATGGTCTCTGGGTTCATTAGCAGAAGGAAAATCTTCCTCCGCAATTTAAGGTAGACCTAAAATGTTTTGTTATGGACAACAGATGTCTACTCAGCCCTCCTAGTTTTCAAGCAACTGCATGAATCCTCCCTCAGGAACCAGAACACATTATCTATAGTTCTTGTGGTAATTTGGTGTTAGCCAAGAGTGCCACTTTGGCAAGAGCCAAGCGGACGTTTCTGTTGCCAGCCATGCTTTGCGCCTCCTCACAAGAACCCAACCAAAGCCACGGGCTGAGCGAGCCGCAGTAGCGATGCTGGGAGACTTTCACAGCAAGCGTGCAAAGGAAGGTGCAGAAGGCCTCTGCCTTTTCTGCTGCCCGCGGTTGTGGCAAGTCCCTTCCCTCCTCTTCCCCTGCAGACTTTGTGCCCCTGAGTCCCCAGTTGTAAAGGGAGTGTGGTAATTAATTTACATTCATAAACATTCCGAAACGTTTGAGCTGTTCACTGCATGTCTCTGGTGAAAAAAAAACCTGACCTCGGTACTAACGTAGGTAATAGGGGGAAGCATAAAGAAAAAGAGGCTAAATGCTCATTCTTGAGACCCATTTCAGTCCCATGCGGTCTTCAGCAAGGCACTTATGACCAGGTTTTCAGTCTAGAATGCCTAGCAGTATAGGCAGGAGCCTAGCAAAATTGTCCAAGTGCCTCATTCTCACTGGATCATGCCAAAGCATTTGGTTATTGACCGGTGTGAGAAAATCATTCATCCGTATCAAAGTTTGCACATGCTGGTAGCTCAATCCCAGTTTCTTAGGGCAGAGGAATATGTAATATTTGTATTACATATAATATATGTGTATAT